GGGCAATATGTGTACTAACTGTTTAATGAGAAACTATTTTGTTCTGTAAACCTTCATCTAAAGTGAGAATAGCAGCACAACTGGAAGAACGTAATTGATGTAATTGAACTGTACATGTAGAAATTTTTGAAATGGTGTATCTTTGACTATGTATATTTTCACCAAAAAAAAAAAAATGTCCTCCAAGGCCGAGAAGGGAGCATGTTGACATGTTGTGGGGTTGTTAACCATTGCCATAAAACAATATGTGTACTGGCTGTTCAATGAGAAACTATTTGTTCTGTAAACATTCACCTAAAGTACAATAAAAAAAATTTAAAAAAAAAAAGAGTGCAGGCAGAGAGAGGGGTCTCAGACAGAGAAAGGACAAGGACATAGAGCTGCACTCTGGGACAGTCCAACATTAAGAGTTAGGAGGAAAAAAGGAATCAGCAAAGGGAAAGAAGCAAACAATGATCAAGAAGCAAAATAAACAGACTGTGGTGTCCTGGAAGCCAACTGAAGAAAGTAAACCAGAAGGAGAAAGTGATCAAAGTCTCAAATGGTCCCTAGGTGACACAAACAGTCTGCACTGGACTGCAAACCTAAAGGCTGGCAGCTCGAATGGTACCAGAGAAGAAAAGGCCTAGTGACCTGCTTCCGTTAGAGATTACAGCCAAGAAAACCCATGACTCTGAATCGACTTGACGGCAACTGACAACACTAACAACAGTGTCAAATGCAGCTAAAAGGTCAAGTACGAGGAAGACTGAGACTCCACCATTGGATTTAGTAATACAGAGCTAAATCCAGCACAGAGTTGGCTGTTACGGTCTAAAGGAAGGGGAGAGGTCCAGGCTGGAGAGACAGATTCAAATATTCCAGCAAATGGTGCATCCCCACAGAGACAAGATCAGAGAGACCAGGGAGAGTGAGAATAGAGGATCAAGGATGAATACCTTGGTAGAAGCAATAAGAAAAAGATGATGATTCCACGGAGAAGACAGAAAAAACATAATCACAAAGGGGAGATTAGACCAGAAACCAATTCTAGGAGAGAATGAATATGAGTGTCAACAGAACAGAACACTCAATTAAGGCAAACCCTAAAGAATCCATGACACTGGTGACCCTTACCAAACAGATTCAGCAAGTGATGCAGTTTGAAATGTGAAATGGAAGTTGGGAAACATATGCCAAAATACACAACTTTTATCTGCTGCATAGTTTATACATAATGATTATGGAGATTATTTGAAGGTGATACAATCCATTCTTTCTTGCAGATATCCTAGGTTCTATGGCTGGATGAAACAGAACCATCAGAAAGCTATCTATGGACCACAGTGTTTTGGTCCCTGGAAATCTGTACCCTGCTTCCCCTGAGGAGTGATTACAGGCAGCAGGTTGCACCGATTTCTGGTAGTCACTCAAAAGTTATTGACTAAGTTACAAAAATCAGGAAATGAACCTTTTTTAAGCCAAGAACTCTTAAAGTCAATATGAACCATAAGAAACAATGCACAAACACCAGAAGAGAAACTAGATAACTGGAAGCTCCTAAAATTCAAACACTTATGCTCATCAAAAGACTTCACCAAAAGAGTAAAAAGACAACCTACAGACTGGGAAAAAATTTTTGGCCGTGACAAATCTGATCAGCATGTAATCTTTAAAATCTATAAGATACTGCGAATCCTCAACAATAAACAGACAAATAACCAAATTAAAAAATGGGCTAAGGATATGAACAGGCACTTTGCCAAAGAAGACATTCAGGCCGCTAACAGACACATGAAGAAAGGCTCACGATCATTAGCCATTAGAGAAATGCAAATAAAAAATACAGTAAGATACCATCTTACCCAACAAGGCTAGCAATAATCCAAAAAACACAAAATAATAAATGTTGGAGAGGATGTGGAGATTGGAACACTTATACACTGTTGGTGGGAATGTAAAATGGTACAACCACTTTGGAAATCGATTTGGCACTTCCTTAAAAAGCTAGAAATAGAAGTGCCATACAATCCAGCAATCTTACTCCTTGGAATATATCCTAGAGAAATAAGAAGCATCACACGAACAGATATATGCACACCCACGTTCATGGCAGCACTGT